CTTTAACTTTGATAATGACATAAAATACACTTTTTTTATCATCAATTGGGCCCAAGTCAAGCCCAAACCAAAAGTTTTATTAGACCAAGTTTCCTTACAAGGCAGATGAGTTTATCTAAAATACTCTCGGGTTAACCTGAAACTACTAACTCGTGATTCAGGGCATTACAAATCTCCCCTCCTAGAAAGAAATTTCATCCTCAAATTTTACTTGAATAGAAGAGGTGAGGATACTAAAGCTGCATATCCTCCTCAGTTTTCCATGTTGCATCCTCAATGCCATGGTTCCTCCACAACATATTTACTAAAGGGCTCACCTCGATCCGCTCTAGGGGTATAATATGAGAAAGATCAAAACGATATCTTCTAAGCATGGATACATGGAACACATTGTGGATGCACTCCAACTATGGTGGTAAGGCCAACTGGTAAGTTGTTGGTCCTACTTTTTCGAGTACCTCGTAGGGTCCTATAAAGAGCGGGGTCAACTTTCTATTGCACCCAAAACAAAACACTTTATTACATGGGTAAACCTTGAGGAACACTTTGTCCCCAACTGCAAACTCAATATCCTTACGCTTCAAGTCTACTTAAGATCTCTATCTATCTAAGGCTTCTCTTAATTGACCCTGAATTAATCGAACCTTTTCTTCAGTTTCTCTAATCAAATTGAAACCCACTATTTTACCCTTATTGAACTCTGTCTAACAAATTAGGGTTCTATACTTGCGTTAATACAAGGCCTCATACGGAGCAGTATGGATGCTCGACTAAAAACTGTTATTATACGCAAACTCCACTAATGGAAGGTGGTCCTCCCAACTACCCTTAGTATCTATAACGGTGAACCTAAGCATGCCCTCTAATAATTAAAAATTTAAATTAAAGATAGAGATGAAAAGAAGAAAACTTTTTATAAAATTAAAGAAGCAAAGAACAAACTAAATTGAAGTACATTTCAAGCTTTTCCCTGAAAGAGTATTTATAGCTTTCTAAAATCCTAAAATATAAACTGAAAACAACTAATGATAAAATCCTAAAACATTCAAATAATAAAATTCTAAAATAAATAACTGATAATTCTCAATTCAAATTAAAATGAAAACTAAAATCCTAAGAAATTTTCGTCTGCTTGTTCTTTTAGATGATACTGACTAGATCACCTTCTAGAAGCTGATGCTGAATGGATTGCCATAATCTTCCATGTCGGACATCATCAAGCCCATGTGTCCAGGCTTTATTATAGAAAATAAAAAAACTATAAAAACTTGCTCTTTGAATTCTATTTTACAAAACTTAAAGTCCTATACATAATCGAATAAAAAAAACCTGAATCAGCAATATCAAAGAAACAATAAGAAGTAATTAATGATAAAATAGTAACAAAATAAATCACTCATCAATGTTTTGAAAAATACCTAAGTATCGATATCCTTGTTGGAGAATATTGGTACTCTACCCTCGGTATTGATACTCCCACGAGTATCGATACAAAAAATGGCTACTGGAATTTGCTAAGTGAACTTGGTATCGATGTCACCCTGCGAGTATCGATACCTTACCTACAATATTGATACCCCTTGTATGAGTATCGATATTTCTATCCCAAAATCCCTTTGTTTTTAGCGTATAGAGAATAGTATCGGTATTGTTCTCTCAGTACCGATACCTGGGTCCAGAAATACTCCATTTCGGGCACGAATAACTCACCTCAAAAGTCCTACTAAGGTCCCCAAACTTCATTAGGATGTTATCTCTGGTAGGGGTGTTCACTATTCAGTTTTAACCAAATTAAACGACCAAACCGAATTAGTTCAGTTAATCGATCACCGAATTAATTCAGTTAATTCAGTCAACCACCGAATTAGTTTAGTTGGGGAACAATTAATAATTTTCTTAGAATTCGGTTAACAGTTAATTTGGTTTGGAATCGGTTAATTAATCGAATTAACCAAAATTATTAAATATTAAATATATTATATATACTAAATCCATAATTTAAGCTCAAACTCATTAAGAATTAAAACCTAATTATTTTTTAAGCACACTAAATTCATTAAATTGTCAATACCTAATTAAATTTTAACCCAAAAAATATCTCTATTATAATTAAATTAATTTAATTTAAAAAATTATTAAAAAAAATTGATTAATTCAGTTAATAGTAATCAAGTTCGGTCAATGGTCGAATTAGTCATTTGAACACCCCTAATATATGATAATAGGCGTCATAAAAGGTCCATAAACATGTTGGAAATCACTAAATACTGAAATCTACCATGAACATGCTTCATGACTCATGCAAGCTAACAAACACACCTAGTGATCTACATATGGTAGAGTTGAGTTAGAAGTGTGTTGCCTTGGAATCCTAAGCTACTGGAAACACTTAAAGTTCAACCAAGCACTAGCTTCTCCTTTCCCTTGACCTTGAAGCTTTCTCCAACTTCTCTCACTAGGCAAGAATCAAACACTTGAGTAACTAGCTTGATTTAAAGGTTAAGAAGGGTTTAAGAACACTTCCTAAGGCTTAAACTCTCTGAAAACGGATTGATTCACTTACGTTCCATAACCCCCCCCCCCCAAACTCATATTTGACTACCATGGTGAAATGAAGAGGTTGAGGGCTTGATGTGAAGCTTTAAAGATGGAGATTATAGTTCTTACATTTAAAATGTCAAACTAGGGTTGCAAGGCCACCAAGTTTTACCTTTGTCTAGGTTACCAAGGAAAAAGATGAAGACTTTGAGAGAAGAGGAAGACAAATGAAGATGAGGAAACAAAGAAGAGTTCTCAAACATGAGATCATCCAATTTTAATGGAAATCAACCTTTCAAACCAAAGATCATATAATTTCTCTTTTGGTCCCTTTAACTTTGATAATGACATAAAAATACACTTTTTTATCATCCATTGGGCCCAAATCAAGCCCAACCCAAAGCTTTATTGGACCAAGTTTCCTTACAAGACCGATGGGTTTATCTAAAATACTCTCGGGTTAACCCGAAATTATTAACTCAGGCGGGGTGTTACATTAACTCCTAAATTTTAACCCTAAAATAAAAAAATATTATTTTACTATGAATTGAAGAAATATTTATTTATAGGTATGTGGGTGTGTATATATATATAAACCCAAGTCACCTTAATAAACCAAGTCCATCCAAAGAAATCCAATGAGCGAAAAGAGGGAAGGTAAAAATATATAACATCGGAATTCACTCCAATCAATATAAGACCAAAAAAAACCCACAAAAAGGGAGTAATTAGCTAATTATGGTTAAGCCTTAGGTTAAAGTACATTTCAGAACAATATTCAATACATCATCAAGGAAAATTATTGAAGAAGATACATTGAGATAATGGGAGTGAACCGACTGAAATTCTGATGTCGGCCAATCAAAATCATATATATTGCCGGACTGGTAGGTAGGCTGTCAACGAAGTCCTCCCCTCTAATCCAAACAAGAAAATGGACCTATCCTAATCACACGTTGATCGCAGCTAACTATGCTTATCTTAACATTAATTAGCTGGGAGCCCATTCCACATTTGGCCACCTTATCTTTTGCATGGCGGCATCCACCTGATTAACACTTTGTATCTCATTATTATTTAACTATTAAAATTTGTAATGCATGATTAGTTTAGGCCATTGTCCACCACAAGTTGTAGTCGACGTCGATTATATGGTGAGTGCATGAAAATATAATGATTGCAATATGCTATCTGTCTGATTTGTACTTCCAAATGCTTGGCCTCCTCAATTAACCATATCATCCACCATAATCCATGATTCTACTAATCACAATTGGCGCAGATATAAATCCATATTAGGACCAGATACATTCTTGATTGCTTCAAGTGGAGCCCAATCAACATGAAACGTTCTAGTTTCAAATTGTGTATTTATTTTTTATCATTTAAATTAAATGAATGCAATCATGAATACTATAAAAATAGTAATGAACTATTATAATTATGTTAGTAAATAATAATAGAATAAATAAAAAATAAACATATTTTTCATTTTTAGAAATAAAATGATTAAAATTTTATTTTAATGCAAATAATAGTAGTATTAATCATACTAAATAACAAGCGAAAAATATTCTAGCTTTAAACCAACTTTAAATGGTTTATTAAAATGTTTAAATTGAACATAAATGAGATTGTTAATGAAATTAAATGAACTTGATATATATTATTCGTATTTAGTCTATTTAACATTCCAACCTTGAAATCTTATTCATCTTTATATATTTGATATAATAAAATAAATATTAACAGGTAAAAATCAAATTATCCATGAGCTATTTATCAAACACTAATTTACAGCTATGGAATAACTTGAATAATGATTTTAATTTTTTTTTATCTTTTAGGTCTGTTTTTAAGGTTTATATTCGAAAGTAATAATTATTTCTTTCAACATTGTTATCTCTAAAATCTGAATCTAAATCCTGTTTTGGGAAGTATAACATAAGTTATAGACTAATCCAACTAAAGGAGAATGAAGTTCCATTTGATCTATTTCAAGAAAAAAGAGGGGTACTTTCATACGATATCGAAAGGCCAACTACTTAAGAAAATCCATTTGAAATACCTGAAGTAGTAGTGTTTGACCATTCTTTATTTATTTTTATTAAGTTTGAGCATTATTTATTGATTAGAAATGCTAGGATGATGAATGGGCTGGCTGACAAATCAACTTAACCATGACAATCACCAGCTACAGCTACAGCTACAGCTACAAATCCATTGATTCAACGCACTCCTTCCTCACATGTCTTTATCATCCATCTCTCGTGCAATTTGGTTGGAAAACACTGCTTTCGAGTTCGACGTGTTTTTGGCAACATTGAGGATCAAGTTAATTAGGCCATCCTTTGTTGCAATAATGCAAAAAATTATACTGTAAACTCTATTTTTGTAGCTAGTTACGTGTCAGAACTTGACTTCCCAGCATCTATAAAAAGAACATTCCTTTGCCTAGCTATGACACTCATCATTCTCCAATAATCTACGGTTCAATCAAGAAATGTTCGGCTTGTTCTCGAGGTCTTTGCAATTGCCTCTTATCTGTGTCTTGGCCTTAGCCCCGTGGTCACACAGGCTGAGCCAAGGGCAGCGGCAACCTTCTTCGTTAGTCGCTGAGTCCAACACAGTTCGATACCATGGAGGCCCTCTCTTGACCAACTCGAATGGCGTTAACGTTTATCTCATATGGTATGGAGGGTTCTCTCTGAAAGATAGAAGCTCCATAACCGATTTCTTCGCTTCTTTCGGGAGCTCTGGTCCACGTCAAGGAAACTCTGTTTCAACGTGGTGGAGAACAATCAGTACATACAAGGACAAAACTGGGAGACCAGTTTCCAACTCTGTTAGACTTGTGAAACAAGTTGGTGATGCATATTCTTCAGGGAAGAGCCTGAAGCGCGCCCAAATAGCCAACTTTGTGAAAAGCAAGATAGACAGCAAAATCTTTCCTTTAGACACAAATGGAATTTACTTAGTTTTGACTGCTAAAGATGTTACAGTAGAGAGGTTCTGCATGGGATCATGTGGCTTCCATGACAGCATATCAGTAGGGGCAATATCTCAAGTGGTGTTCGCACACGTTGGAGACCCTACGGTCCAATGCCCCGGTCTTTGTGCTTGGCCTTATGCTCTGCCTGCTTATGGCCCTCCGGGACAAGCCTTAGTGGCACCTAACGGCATTGGAACCGATGGCATGATCATAAACATTGCTACCCTACTTGCAGGGGCTGCCAGTAACCCCTTCAAGACCGGCTATTTTCAAGGGGATGCTTTGGCACCATTGGAAGCTGTCACAGCCTGTCCCGGAATATTTGGTAGCGGAGCGTATCCTGGGTATCCAGGAGCTTTGTTGGTAGATAAAATGAGCAAAGCTAGTTATAATGCATATGGTGCTAATGGTAGAAAATTTCTTCTTCCAGCTATCTGGGACCTTATAAGCTTGAATTGCAAAGTTATCACTTAGTTTCCTTAGGATAATCTCTACCCTAAATTTATGTCAAAACTGTTAAAGCTGGGCTTAAAGCCTGTAGAACCCTGTATTAGTTATTGAAGCTTTTGAATCATTCTGTATGGTTGTCCCTTGTTCCCATATGTAATGAGGTAAGGGGGAGGTAAGATAGTAGGCTGCCCCTAACACTAGATTGAGAGCAGCTTCCGTAGGAGACCTCCAAATTATGAAATATCCTCCATGGGACTCGATCCCACGACCTCAAGATTAAGAACCTTGTGCTCTACCCTAAATTTCTTAATGAAATCTCTTCTTTTTTTAAAAGAAAAAAATATGCATCTTTTGTACTACTACGTATGGAAATAAAATGATCAATATACCATGAAGAACAAAACGTGTGAGGATATTGAAAATTGGAAACTGAAATGGCCTTTTGAATTGATGATTCTTTTAAAATTTAACCAATCATCAAACAAAACAACCATTGCAATACGATAGCAGTTGTCTTTATACACACACACACACACAAACCAAGAAAGCACTAGCAGGACGTATCTACACAACCTGCTTTTGAAACAAAAAAAAATCAAAACAACTGGGATTATTGCTGCATTTTAACCATACCCTCAAAATTAGAATGAAATATATATTTCCCTCTCTAAAAGGCATGAAAAGAACAAAGAAAATAAAAGAAAAGAATCACAAATTACTCAAACGTGGTAATTATGGCGTATATAAACTTGTTATTTTCTACCTCCAGTTTTGTGTTTACCATCAGAAGCAGTTGGTTGACTACCGTTTCGGTTCAATTGCTGGCCAACTCCATTTGCAAGTTTCCTAGAGGGTGATGGCCCTGACATAGGATATAAACTTTTGCTGTAAAATATTTACCAGCTCTTTTAGTTACATGGAAAAGCTTACGATGAATGTACACAATATTCGAGATCATGAGAATATTGTTATTGCCTTACCTTAGTTCAGGACTCCTTGCTGATTTTAAAGTAGGTTCCTTGGTATTTGATTCCATCCCATTGGTTATGCTGCTAAGCTTGGAACGATTGAATTCCCAAAGCAAATCTGTCTCAGATGAGTCACTGGTGGTAGCAGCATCAACATCATCTATGTCATAAGAACAAGCCATGTTGAACCTGTTACTCCCCATGAACATATTATACGATTGTTCTGGGTACATGTTTGAAGAATCTTGTAGATATTTCTGGTAAAGGGCATCAGATAAATTCCCATTTTCGGCTTCCCAACATCCTAGGGAGTTTCCTACTCTGTTAATGGCAGCTTGCTTGTTCACCATAACCTTATCCATTCACTCACCCGAGCTTGATTCTTGCTCATCTTTCCTAAAATTTTGGGCAGGACTCTTAACAGGAGGCCAAGGAGGTGAATTTGCTAATAGCTCATCAAGATCAAAGCTTTGCGTCTTTTGCCTCGATTTAGAGTTGGTACACACCTGAAAAAGGCAGAGAAAGTAATCAAATTTAAACTTAAGAGAGAAAATATGTATGCATGCATGTAAACATGTCGAATAGCAGAATGTATGATGATATGAATAGCCAAGCTTTCTAGAGCTTGTCGAGTGAAGCCGATACATTGAAAGCAAAATCAATGTCAAACTAGTAAAAATGAAAAAAAAATATTTGGAATCAAATTATATTTATACTATTACTAATACATGAACTCCACTCAATTATGTATTTAAATTTATTTTAATAATTTAATACTAGCATCCTTAAAAAATAATTTATTACTTTTAATAATTTATTTTAATTATTTAAAAATAAAAATAATTTATAATTTATATATTAAAATATTAATAGTGACTCATATAAATTATATTTTTATTATAATTATATTTTTTAATTGTATTTTTATATTTTTATTATAATTTAAATTTATATAATTGATATATAATAATATTTTTTTAATTTATTATAGTTTAAATTGATATGATTCATATATGTGTAAATATAATTTAAATGTCATATTTTTAATTTACAACATAATGTCTATAATCGATATTTTATCTTTTTAAACTAACTTTTTAACATCAATCCTAAACAACTAAATTTTAAATTACACTTTTGTACAATAATTTTAAAAATTACTTTTCAAAAGTATACATGTTGAGCGTTAATTAGAAATATGTTGTGGTAGTTTAAAAGTCTATTATGGTAGTATGTTAGTTAGCTGATGATTTAGTTACAATTGTGTGTGTATAAATATTAACTTCAGTTTAATGATATGAATGAAAGCACATTTCCAAGTATAAGCTTCTTACCTTTGATTACATTAGTTCAACATTGTATTAGAGGTTAATTTTTGTAGCCGAAGGATTTTCTCTGTTTGTTTGTAGTGGTTGGGCTGTTTTTGGCCCATTACGTTTCTGCCCGGCTCATTTTCTCTTTTCAGGGGTTTGATCGTTTGAGCATCTTTTGTTATTTCTAGGGTTTTCACTTTTTTTTCCATTTCTCGTTGTTTTCTTTGTTCTCTTTTCGGTGGATCGTTTTTTTCTTGTTTTGTCTCATGTAGGCTTTGGATTACACCCATCTGATGTATCTTCACCCATGGAGCACTCCGAGGACGGTGATTGTCTCTCATCAACTAGTCAGCTTGGAAAACTACAACGTTTGGAGTCGCTCGATGAGAATTGCCTTGTTGGCGAAGAAAAAATTAGGTATGATTGATGGCTCTGGTTCTCGTGATGCTTGTGAGATTTCGTTGTGCTCACAGTGGGACAAGTGCAATGCGGTGGTTCTCCTGGATTTTGAACTCTGTGAGTCGTGAACACTCGGCCAGCATCGTTTTCGCGTCCAGTGCTGAGCTTGTTTGGAATGATCTGAAGGAACGATTTGATAAAGTTGATGGCTCAAGATTTTTTTTCTTACATCGAGATATAACAATGTTTCTTTAAGGTGAGTCTTCGGTATCCAACTATTACACTCATATGAAGCTATTATGGGATGAAGACGATATTTTGGTTCCGTTTTCTTCACGTGCTTTTGAAATCTCTCAAAAAAATTCAGCTCGTTTGTTGCGACAGAATTTTTCAGTTTCTTATGGGCCTGAATGAAACATTTTCCTCTACTCGAAGTCAAATTTTGCTCATGCATCCTTTACCCTTTGTAAATAAAGCGTGTTCTTTGGTTGTCCAAGAAGAATCGCAGATGATTCATTTGTCTGCTACTTCCAGTTCAGATGCAACAGTCATTATTCATCGGGCTCTGCTGATCATAATCCGCAGCAGTTCACGGGTTTCTGAGACTATTGCAAGAGAAAGGTTCATAAGCGTGAATCTTGTTATAGGTTAATTGGGTTTCCTTTCAATTTTAAGTTTACAAAAGGAAATGGAACTCAAGGTTCCCAGGTGGCTTCTGTGCAATCCTCTGAATCTTCTGAGTTGGTTAAGAACCATAGTATTTTTATTGTTGCTGTAATGCCCAATAATACCTAGGGCTGGTCCCAGGGTTTCAAATCGTGATAGTGTTTTCGGTTATTTTGAATTTACCTCGAACGGCGACGAAACCGTTATATCGCGGCCGAAATCGCAGTCGCAGACCATTTTTTAAAATCCTGACCGATCCTATACATGTACCAGATGGACGAATGCCCATGACAGCATTTAAGGGCATCAACATGTAGGGGCGTTGACTTTGGTTTTGTTGGTAATTATTTGGTTTACCATTCAACTCGACATCAGTTGAGTCAAACTCTTGTTCAGTTCTCCACTTGTTCTTTTCTCACTATTTAATTGCATTGGAGAATCAGAGAATGAAGGGTAGAGTGAAGGAAGCTCTGAAATTGTTTGAAAATGGGGGAACCCATTTGGCTTTCTAAAATAAAACTCATCTGACACATATATTGGTAATTATTTGTATTCGCTCATTACACCAAATGGATTTCTTCATTCTCCAGGTAAAATCTCATAGTTGTTTTGGCTTTATCTTGGATTCGCTCATTAAAAACTCGTTCTGTGTATCTATTATTTCTCTATAGTTGGAATTTAGGTTTCTGGTTCTGTATTTTTTCTATTTTCTTTTGTTTGTACTTTCTTTATGTATGGGTTTCGGTTATTTTTGTTCTCTCTTTCGAGTCTGATAATGGGTATCTCTCGGTTTTACAAGTTGTTCGGGCTAAATTTTTAGGGTACCTATTAGATGATGGATCGCCAAGGTAAAGAGAGAAATCAGACTTGTCTGTTTTTAAGAATTTTGTCGAAGATTGCCTTGATTATGAACCCAAACCAGTTGAGAGACATGCGAAGTCGAAGCCACCGAGTTCAAATGATATTCAAGTTGATAAGTTTTCAGGTTTGCGTATAAGGTAAGGCCAAGTTCAAACACTTCAACTTACATTCCACTAATTTTAAGTGGCAAGTGGCAAATAGCAAAGCCCTGATTGTTACATTTTCTTCTGTTTAACAAAAAGCAATTGGTCAGTCCTGTAGAACTCAGTGAGAGGTTGTCGGATATTCAATTTGTTCGACTATCAACTATAAAGTATGCAATTATACTCTTGCTTGTCAATTATGGACTCTTTATTACTTGCTAGGGCCTTGATAAAGCATTGCTATACATGCACCTCATCAGGTAGATGACAATATATTTTTGGACTCTTTGCAGGAATTTATTGAAGGGAGACACCTTTACGGTTGTTGGGCAACCATAGGAGTGTTGACTGAAAAGGGACTCCAAAGACTAGTTCAATCGGGCAGAGCTATTCCATATGGAAAATTGGGTGCTTAGATGAAAATACTGTTTCTCTTTTTTTGTTTGGTGATGCTTATGAGCAGAATTGTAAGGAGTTTAATCAATTCTCCCTTCGAAAATCCAAAAAAATTAAGGTTAAGAGAAGTTGGATGGTCTTCTCGTTGTAGATGGTGCATAATCATCAATGGAATGACATAAAATTATTATCTCGCCCAGGGCATTAAAACTCATTGGACCGACCCGGATAATACTACTCCAGTAATCATTCAGGAACAGTACAAGCAGATTCTTGATCTACTAATGCAGCTCCCTCTATGTCCTCGAATGTTAACATGGCAGGTATGATTGACAACTCTGCTGCTCATCGAAATCTTCATTGGGTAATAGACACTGGAGCCACGGATCATGTCATTTGTGACTTTAATAGCTTGGAATCACGGTTGCTTGTACTAGTTTTCGGTTAGTTCATTTGCCCAATGATTATACCACCCATGTGACCACTTGTTTTCTTCTAGCGCCTTAAAAAATGTATTATTTGCCCACATTTTAACCAAAACTTAATTTTTGTTTCCAAGATCACCAGAAACCTAAATTACTCTGTTACTTTCTTCCTTATTTTTGCATTTTTCAGCATCTTTGCGATGGAAGGACGAAGGAGATTGGTAGGGAATATGGAGGACTCTACTTCTATGAGTCCATTGGTACAAACACGGATATTCCTTCTTATATTTCATTGTTTTCACGTGTCTTGATGAGTCTTGTGTTCTTAAGACTAAGTTGGATGATACTATAGATACTGTTGATATACATGGTTGTAATGCTGTTGGTTCTCATCTAAATAAAAATTCAATTCTTTAACATGCTTGGTTGGGGCATGCTTCTTTTTCTAAGTTGAGTAAGCTTGATTATCTAAAAGATATATACTTTTCTTTTTCTACTTTACTTAGTTGCCACGTGTGTCCTTTAGCCAAACAAACAAGGTTATCATTTCCTTTGAGTCAAACTCATTCCACACAACCTTTTGCTCTTCTGCATCTTGACTTGTGGGGTCCTTACAAATTTTCTACTCTTTATATGACAAGGCAAGTTCACATGTGGTGATTTAGAATGTTGTTCTTTCTCCTCAAATGTCTGTGTTCTGACTTCTGACCCAAATGCTTGTGGCACCTTTTTATTACCCACCAGATTTCAAGCCTTGCATCTCAATTTCCAGAGATCAGGATGTACAGGAGCTCTGATCTATTGCCAGCAAGTTGGATTTCAGTGGCTTGGTAGGACATCTTATATTAGGTGCGTTTGTTTCACAGAATGTAAGATTACTATTGAAAATAAAATATTACCATAGAATATGATTACTGGGAATGTTGTATTTTATGTTTGGTTGGTTTATCAGGAATGTAAGATTATCGTGTTTGGTTAAAAGAATAAAAGATTATTAAAATGTATATTTAACCAAATTGTCCTTATTATATATTTATTTTTTAACAAATTGAATTTTACTATAATATTAATATAATTAATTTATATATATTTTTTAAAAAATTTAAATTTATAAAATTTATATAATTTTTTTTACAAAATTGAAAAGATAAATAGGTTTAATAAAATGGTAAAATTTTATTTTAATCTCTGAATTTTATTTTTTTTTTATAAATCTAAAATAGTTTAAGGATAAATTTTTAATTTAATCTTCGTAAAAATTTTATTATTTATCGACAGAAGAATGATATTTTTGAAAAAAAAATTAAGGGCATTTTAGTCTAAAATGCCGGTAATCCAACAATACTTAAGGAAGGGGTAATCACATTCCCGGTAATATACCTTAAAAAATCCACTGTTGGTAATAAAAGATTTTCGGGAATGGAATTACTGACCAACCAAATAGGAAAATAAAGATTTCATTCCCTCGGTAATATAACATTCTTTGAACCAAACGGAACCTAAAGATTGACCAAGTCACTGCTCTTTTAAGCTTTATGTATGTTTGGTTATATTATTTTTGGTCTATAGGTACCCAATATACAGAATACATATGGGTCAAACCCTACAAAACCTGGATGCATCTTTCTTGACCTTCCATTCTTTGTCAACACATTCTCAAAGTATACCCCTTTCTCTCTCATTTATGATCGTGGGGCATGTTGCCTGTTTGGTTTGTGTTCTGTTGAGTTAATTCTTTTAATTATTATACAGCTGGTACAGGTAAAAATCAGGTGCAGTGTCCTGCTTCTAGCAATAGGAAAGTCCGTGGTGTTGATGCATCTACAAATATCCCTCTACCAGTTTTTGGCCTTGCTTCCTATAAGCTGAAAGTTTCAATTTTGACTCCCAATGGTGCCCAAGAATGGCAGCAAGCAAGCTATCTGTTACAAGCCGCTGACAATTGGCTGCAATGTTTACAAGTGCATCATCCTGATTTCCAGTTTTTTGCATCACATAACTCAGTGGAGATAACCACGATACCTTGATTCTCTGTAACTGATCTTTTGAGTGGTAGTTGGGGAAATAGTAAATGCTCTGTTGAAATGATACTTGGTGACAAATGATATAGTTTACTTAAAACTCATCTAAGAAGCACCTTGTTTTTCAGCTTTAGCTACTAGACTGTATTCATTGAAAATATTAGGTAGCTATTTTGCAATATATTCAGGTAGGGCCACAAAACTACGATCAGCTCATTGGAATCCTGATCATCACTCAATTGTTAACTTTGCTTCTGGTTCAAGTTCAAGCTATGTTTATTCTCCAAACACTTGTAAATTATTAACCAAACAACCCTGTTTGCACCTTCATGTTTTATTTGATAAACATTTAGTAATATAGTTGAAAATTCAAATGCCTGGACTGTATCTACACATATACCAGTGTTTTCCAGAAACCAAAATACTCATGAATTATCAGGGTTTATAAAGCTTACTTCAGTTCTGTAGTTACAAGAATGCTTGATATCGCTCTTCCTAGTTATGTGAGATATTGTACATGCCTTGCCCGGTCGAAGCCTGATTCAAACCTGAGCAACTCAAATTTAAATGAGCAGATATTTGTATTGCATCAGATCAGTCAGGGAAGGCCTTTGAACCACAAATATGAAGAACCCTAGACAGACCATAGCAGGGCTATAATCACAGCACATACCATTACTGAAACCTTTGTTCAATTTTGTTAATATCTATGGAGCTTTTTACATTCAGGTTAACTAGCAAATGTAAAGTTTAAACAAAGATAATAACGGCTTTTATTAACTTATGCTCTAAAAGGGAAAATACAGGAGTTTGAACTCTGTTGAGGTCTTAATTGAAAAATATCAACCTATTAAATAAATTACATTACATTCTTAAATTATCCCTAGCTTCTACATTGAATTATCAGAAAGTTCAATGCAAGAACGTAGATGACGGTAAGTTTGTTAAAAGTTGTGGACCGTCGATTATGTTCCGCCCATATTATAAACCACCATCAAAGATAGTCGATAACAACAGCCCTTGTACAAACTCACACTTATTTGCCTTCTCTGAGTGCTCCTTATCTGACAATGGTGACAGGTGAACATCTCTGCACAACGTAAGACTATCATGAATTTGCATCCAGTTAAGGGGGGATAACCTAAGTATTCAAAGGGTATTGCTTAGCTCAAACTCTAAAGAAAAATCTTAAGAATAGATAAAATACTTACTTTTCTAACATTCTCTCATTTGTGCCTTTTTCCTCCAAGGTCACTTCAGTAGGAGAGGCAGGCTGTACACTTCCAGATGAATCAGCAGGAGGTGCAGTATGAAGAAATGAAAGCAATGGATCGGGTCCTGTAGTGGAGGAAGAAAGTGAAGACCATGACCTGAAAAGATGAGATTGATAATGTGCATCATGCAACTCCTTCCTCAAGGAAGAAAGAGTTGAATAAGAGTCGCCTTTATGAAAATTTAATTTGTAGTTACTGTAATCATTGGTCAAGGGCCACAGATCATTAACTTAAAGAATCTGGCCTAAAATCGAAGAAAGAAAAAACTCAAAACATCCTCATAGCCACACAAAGAAAATATATATACTGGACTGATTCAAATAGCTTTAGGGAAAGAATGAGGATGTCATGAGAATTGATTCGAGCACAATGACATGATCTAGAACAGGTAGTTGAAAGTAAAAGGGAAAAGAACAAAATAAGTAAAATCTTTCAACAAAAAAGTAATAAAAGGATATTTTGAAAATATTCCCATGCTGCAATGTTATGTGGTCAACCATGTTCATCCCTACTCTCTGAGCACAAATGGGACATACCTGCAATTATAAGCAGACAGATTTACTGATCTTACACGTTGTTTATGTCAAAAAAGCAATTAGACTAAGCTATCTTGAAGTGCCCTGATCATTGCGAGATTCAATAAGAAGAATTCCTTTTGGTAAGGTCAGCATCGAATTTGTTCATCTCAAACAGAAGACTTCATATCATGTTAATGAAGCATATCAAGGATAACTTCCATAAACTATAATTTACGCTGACGATGTACAATGCCTTAGTTACAACCAACAAGCCAACACATATACAAAAGAGAGAGGGAGAGAGAGAATATGACCTACTAACTTAACTAATAGGGGCTCTATAATATTTTGAATCAATGTCGATTTCAAAAATGGGGCATTATGAACTAATAATAAAAAGATAGGTTGACACTAAAGGCATGAAGGTGAGAACAAATATTGCTCAGTAACTTTAGCAATCATATATTCACTAATAGTCAGAGAAGAAATTAGAAGACATAAAATTTGTACAAAGAAAAAAAGAAGCCAGTGATCACTTCTAAAGCTTCTATGGGTAAACAAGAACAATTTCATCGAAACAAAATTGCTAGAAAATGTTCATAAAATGAGTAACATTAGAGTGATAATGCTGAATGAGAAGGGGGAAAGGAAATTGAGGATTTTAGTTCCGATAGCATCTATTCATCAATCTATCTAAATTTCCAGCTAAATTACCAAAAACTTTCAAACGACAACTAAACATGGATCAGTATGCTATATTCAAAGAGTTGACAGAGTTTCAACATCCAAGGCCATCTACTGCTGGGGCAACTTATGCATATCCGATAAAAGATTCCGATTCAATCTTGTCAAACCATTATCCACCCACAATTTTTACCAAACTAAAAGCATATCCAGGAAGACTAAAAACATTACTTAAATATCAATTCTAAGTTTCTAACAACCTTTCAAAACAAAAGAAAATTTTATGCCTAACAATAAATCCAGAAAGGGAAGTGCATGTACCCCATAGCCGGCATCAAGATGATGCTCTTCATCAATATGGCAGCACAAGCCAAGTAAATCAAAACCCTCCGAACAATACGGGCAGGGGTATTCCGTCATCAATTCATCGTCTTCTTCAATCTCTTCAAAATCAATACAAAGATCTGCTTCCAAAATCAATAACTCCCCATTCAGTAACCGCATAAATCCAGGGAAACAAACAAAAAATCAAAAGCAAAAAAAAAATCAAAAACATAACAAAAAAAACAAACAAATAAGTGAAATACTAACCACTTTGGGATTTAAGAGTGGATTGATAGCTCCTAGGTGAAGCTGAGAACGCAAAGCTCCAAGTATCATCCTCCATTGAAACTTAGATAACGTTGTAAATTGAAGCTGGGTTTGTTTGAAAAAAGCGAAAGAATCTAACAGGGCTGCTTCTTAGATTCTCCTTTGTAATTTTCTTCTTCTTCTTCTTCTGCCTTTTTAAGAGCAAAGAGCGACTTAAAAGGAGAAAGGGGGATTCGGGGAAGCAAATGGAAATGTTTGCGTGTATTTTTAGGGTTAAATTCATATTTGACCACTGAACTATACACCTTTATCATTTTGACCCTTGAAGAAATGTTTATCACATTACCTACTGAATTTGTATATTTTAATCATTAATACACCGTCAACTACTGTTAAAAAAATTATAACCCAATGAAAATAAAGCACGTAGAATTAGTTAATATCTTATATTAATTTTAGAAATTGAAAATAATTAAAAATGGCTTTATTATTTGATCAATTAAAAAGTAACAAAAAAAAAAACAAAAGATATAAAATAAAGGATAAACAATCTATTTAGCCACCTAATCATTATTATATTTATTTTTTTTGCCTACTAATTTTTTTTTTACAAATTCCCCAAAAAAATTAAATTTTCTCTAAATTGGTCTTAACTTGGGATGATATTTATTTTTCTACTACACAAGTAATTTACTTTTACAATATAAAAGTATCTATTTTTATTTATAATTTAAAATTAAAATTGTCGATAATATAATAATATAATATCACTTATAAATGAGTGATATACTACACAAGTAATTTACTTTTACAATATAAAAGTATATAAGGCCTAAGAGATTTCAATTTCTACTACAAAGTGAGTGATACATTTATAGAAAATTGGATCACAAAGATGTCAAACTCAATTGAAGTGTTTAATTGTGGATACTTTGTTGTTGGAATTTGCTTTGAACAAAGTGCCCTTGTTTTGGAAATGTTTTGGTATGTGATTGATACAGGGCCAGAGTCATTTATAGTTCAATTCAACCCCTTTTATGGTCTGGTACTCTAGTGTGAATGACATGATGGGTGATTACTGCAGGGATTTAATAAGCACCAAATGAGCAAGCTGAAGCAGAGTGAGTTCTCAACTGAAGAGAGGGAGAGAGAGATCACTCAGGTACCTGAATATATGTGGTTTATCGTTTCAATGGCAGTTCCCCTCTAATGAATATGGTATTTTTGCAGGTTGTCCAGTCAGTAAATGAGCTTGCTCAAATGATGAAAGACCTCTCGGCCCTTGTGATAGACCAGGTATGACACATCTTTATGTTATGTTATCCATTTTGGTTGATTGATACAAACTGATTTTTGTATGTAATATCTCCCATCAGGGCACTATTGTTGACCGAATAGACTACAATATCCAAAATGTTGCTACATCAGTTGAGGAGGGCTTCAAACAGCTCCAGAAGGTTGTATATATTTTTGCCTCACTCAGTCATCCATGCTTACACATACACTCCTGCAAACTCATTCCCTTATTTTCCGGCCATATCCTGACCATTTCCCCTTCAAAATTTTGGACACCAAAGATTATCTGTCCTCATCTCGTATAAGGGTACTTCTGAATTCATTACACGTGTTGTGTGCATAACTGCTCTTAAGTTATGGTGGTTTTGACAAAACTTGAGAGTTATATATAAGACGGTCATCTTGTGTGTGTACTGGAATTGCATGCTGAGCGATCACAGAAGGGAGGGATGTTGAAGTGTGCGACAGTGCTAGTTATTTTATGCTTCATCATGATAGTCCTTTTGATCCTCAAAGGGGTTATTCTTATGATCATATTAGGGTACCGCACTGACAGTAGCTTAGCATCCTAGTTTCACATGATTCATCATGTATAAATGATGGTCCCGAGTAAGATCCTAATAAAAACCGCAATGTTAACACTCCCACATATGATCCTGATGATGATCATAAACTGCGCTGTAAATAGTTTGGTATTTCACTGTTTTGACATTGAAAATTTGCAGTAAAACAGGTTCTAGAATTTGGATTGTCAAGTTTCTTTTGACATTTGTAATCAAGGAAAATACTTTGTTATCTACCGACCATGTAAAATAATAATGAAATCTTGAACTCGTGCCATACTAAAATGTCCCTCTAAAACGATTGGGACATGACCACAACAAAAAATAAATGTGTCAAAATCTATTTGAGTTATTAAAGTATAAAATTTATAATGGATAAATTACAAATTTGGTAATTAACCTTTACTCTCTCTCTCCTATTTCACTCATTGTACTCTAATTTTTTTCAATTTTCTCATTGAACTTAATACATTGGTTTTTTTTGTCACTCGGCCGTTAAATAGTTAACGGTGTTAAAATGCACAATTATATAGATGCAAAACGATGTTATTTTGGTGAGAATTTTGTTTTTTAAAAAGTTATCGTTTTTAACGCAATTAACTATTAAACGACAAAGTGACCAAAATAAGAGAGAGAGTAAAGTTTAGTGACAATAAAACTCTATGTATTAAGTTCAGTAGGAAAATTTAAAACTTTTAAAATTCAGTGAACAAAATAGGAGAGAGTAAAGTTCAGAAATGAAATTTGTAAGCTACCCATTTATAATATTTTAAACAGTAAAATAAAACAAACCAACTACGTTTTTTTTTATCTAAACTGAGGACAAACATATAATTTTTTTCAATATTATTTATTTATTTGGGTAAAGTACACAAATGATCAATTGACAATATGATATTGTTTTGTTGAATCTTTTGACTATTAAAAGTTACAAAATGATCTCTGACTATAAGAAGTTGCTTTGTTGAGTTCCTCGATTATTAAAAGCTACAAAATGGTTACTTGACTATTCATTATATTCTAAAGTCGTTCTTTTCTGTTAAAAAATTAACGACAGCTTGAGCTAGATGTTGACCTGTTAACTGGGATATGATAAAATATGATCTCAGAATCTCAAACGGCTATCATATCTCAGTTAGCATGTTAACGTCCAATTTTGTCGACCATAATTTTTTAACAAAAAATGACAAGTTTGGAACATAATGAATAGTCAGATGACCATTTTGTAATTTTTAATAGTCGAATGACTCAACAAAGCAACATCCTATAGTCGGGTAACCATTTTGTAACTTTTAATAGTTAGGAGATTCAACAAAGTAAAATCCTTCATATCATGATTTATGACATGGCTTGTCAATTTTAGTTGAAATTTCAGTTTGATTAATCTTATTTAGATAACATTTGTATAATGGTATAAAAAAGAATGTCACTTTTTTCCTAACTATGTTAAGATTTGGTATTTTTCTTTGTTGAGTTTTTCAACTTTATGGTATGCATTTTATTTTGGGTTAATTGCACTTTCGTTTTTATTTAATTAAGATATGATTAATTTTATTTTTATTTAATTAACATATGATCATTACGAGTTAATTATTGTTAACAATTAACTGAATATGTAACGTGATAGTTTATATAATCACACATTTGATTCATGTTATTTACATATTATTTCAATTTAATCATACTTTTAAATAAATTTTAACATAAAATATATATTTTTAAATAAAAATAAAAAAAGTATTTTTGAATTAAATTAATAATAGAATATATTTAATAAGTTAATATAAAAATATTTTTAAGTTAATATATATATATATAATAGTATGAATTTAAGTATTTATCCATTAATATATAAAATGTGTACACCGTGTTTTCTACTTTAGACCAAGCTATGGTTTTGGCTTAATGGTTTATACATGTTTAGTTTCTTAAGTGACTAAGGTTTGAGTCTTTATTGCCTCAATTTGTTTTTCTTTGTTTTCTTTCAACCATAGGGTCTCTTTGATTGGTAGAAATAAATATATTAAATTAAAATAAAGTTAGTCCTCCAACTAAATGGTGACACATGGCATCATGCGATTGGAGGATTAAATTTATTTTAATTTATTAAAGCATTACTATATTGAGCGAATATGTAAATAACAGAAATCAAATGTGTGATTATATCAAAAACATTTAACTTCTATTAAAGACAGTTAACTCGGGGTGATCACATCCTAATTAAATAAAAACGAAAATGGTCATATCTCATGTTTTTTGTAATCAGTGACCAGAAGTCGATAAAACACAAATATAAGTGATCATCCGTGTAGTTAACCCTTTTATTTTTATGTGTTTCGCCTGAGTCTAACTGTAGGGTTTTTCATGGCTTAGCTTTTGATTAATTTATAATGGTTCTATAATTTGTCAAACGGAAAGGGCAGTTGAATAGAGGAGCCTACTGATGCACTATAACAATTAAGGACCTATTCAACAAGAAGAAGCGACTAAGGCATGAATGGAGTCGGGTACCAGCTCAAGCTGCAAAATATAATTAATTATAAGAAACAAAATTAAATTAAACAAAGATTAGAAGGTCTAAATATGTATTTTCTTTCATATATTATCTAATAGTAAAAAATTAGAGGACAATGGCCACCTTGAACGAAGCATAGCTTCGTCCCTGAACCAGAGTGTATCCATAAGTAAGGCTTAACCATTAGGCTAACTACTTCATATGAGAATGTGCAAACTCATTTATATTTTTAGTTTTATATTATTTCACATATCCACATATATATTAAATTATTAAAACAAATCTAATAAATAAATTAAAATTTTCACACACATTTATATATAATTATAGGTAATACGAAATTTATAAATAAAAATGAGTTTAATATTTTTATATTTTTAAATTAAATTAATTATTTTGTTTTACGCAGTTATTTTTAAATGATTATAAGTACAAAGCAAATGAGAAATAATTTTTTTTTTAAAATTGAAAACAAGTAGTTAAGATTCATATTATAAATTTATACTTTAATGATTTAAGTTTTTTTTACTTTGAATTTTCTAATGAATTTTTAATATAATTTTATTTTTTAATATAATACATATATAATTATTTAAAAATAATTATGAAGAAATTAATATAATTTAAAAATATAAAAATAATAAACTCATTTTTATTTATAAATCTTGTATTACCTATAATTATATATGTGTGAAATATATAATTTATTTATTAGATTTGTTTCAACAATTTAATATATATGCGTATGTGTGAAATAATAGAAAACACAATATATATAACAATTTGTAAAATTGGAACATGTGGAGTAGTTAGCCTAGTTGTTAAGCCTTACCCAGGGATGCTGATGGTCCCGTGTTTGATGAAGCCTTCTAGTAGCATTATTTCTACAATTTGTTTTCCTTTATACACATGTGGTGGCACATGTCATAACTTGGTTGGTGGATAAAATTATCAAATTAAAATATTAAAATTAATTAAAAATAATAATTCTCCAATCATAAGTGACACGTGTCACTTGAAAATATGTCATAATAATATGTTAACACGTGGCATCTCTGTATTGGAGGGTTAATTATTTTAAATTAAATTAAAATTAGGACTAAATTTTTAGAATGCGTAAATATTGAGGACCATATGTATAATTATGTCATTTTTATTAACAGACACGTCACTATCTCTGTTAAAAATTAACGGAGGGTGACTTGATTGAACCATTTAAAATTGATCATAGTTTAGTGGTCAACCGTGTAGTTTACCCAAAGAAATACACCCTTTATATATATATATATATATATATATATATATATAATATATATATATTAATGAAAGCAACTAATTAAATAGAACATATCTCAAATTATAAAAATGAATTATAATTAGAATAGTAGATTAAGCACATAATTAGGACAATTTCCTATAACCATTAAACAAAACTAGCAACTTAAGATCATAAAGACCATACGAGGAAAGATTAAAAACCTAACCAAGAAACTTAAACAAATATAGATACAAATAGATCTGATCGCATCGGCAAACAAACAATAAAAAGGGATCAAGCTATTGAAAGACCACCGACAAAATCACAAATCAGACTCGAGTAACGTGAAAAGCTACCCACGAACGCAAAACGAATATCCAATTCCACTCCAATGGTCTAAAGTAGGGAAGATCAACAAGATATCATATAAACACTATCTTGATCAGTCACGACGATGTCAAATCAATCCTTAGTAAAATATAAATGAGAAAATAGTCAAATGAAAAAAAATATGCCAAAAGACAAAAGAAAGTGTGCCATAAAGGCATATGAAAACGTACCATAAAGGAAGATGAAAACGTAGGAGCATATAGTTGCATATGGTGGAATTATGTTTGTCGCGACATTTTATTTTGTAATCAGTGATGCTTTATCGAGAAGGTGTTTGTTGGGTGATGTGCAGGATTTGAGAGCAAGAAAAAGGGAAAAGTCGTGACATAAGAAGACTGCTGAGCAGAATGAAAATGCCGACTTGGTTGGCATTTCGAGAGCGAACAAAATGAAATAAGATATTTTTGGAGTCAGCTGTCCCTATTTTCACGTGATCTCTGACCATGGGCGAGAAATCTGCCTGGAGGGGGTCAGCGTTGCTACAGCCGATCTTGTTGGACCACGCCGTCCTACTACTGATCCTGTCTGTCATTTACCTTTTGCAGTGGGATCATGTCGAGTACTTAGCCAACCACCCAGACTGGATCAATACCAGCTGCCCAGGGGAACCACTGTCAGCTCTACCCAATCCTCACGTTAATTAAGCATGATTTGGGGTATCCTAGGAATTTCAATAGTAATTCCTAGGGTTAATCTTCCCTTATAAATAAAGGATGAAGCCACAATGGTAGAAGACTTTTACCCATGCCGTTTAGAGCTTAAATTCAAAGAGAAAAAAGGTCTCTCATTTTCCACCAATCCGATTTGTCGTGGCATTCCTCCGTTGACAAGCTAGATGGAGTGGCGTTCTAGGCGTCCGAGAGGAGCTAGTTCGCTGGGACAGTTCATGGTGGTCGAGGGAAGCTCTGACAGTGCACGTCGAAGGCTTTTCCTCATTCTTTTTATTTTTTGCTTTTATATTTTATCATTTGGGTTGTAAGGAACTGTTTAACTTGCTTTGTGCTTGCTTATTTAGAACCCCACCATGAACTAATCCTATTTGGTTGGAG